GGAGGAGGAGGAGGAGGAGGAGGAGGAGGAGTACCCACTACTGTCTTGGTCACCAGCGGCCCTCGGAAGTTCCCGAACGAGATCCCCATGAGGCCTAGGCCAGCCCCGCCTGACTGGAGTGACACCCTTGAGGCACTGGAGCAGCGTGGGGACCAGAAGGCCCTTTGGGAAGTTCGTAGGAGGAACTCATCAGGGTCCACGGGATTCCAGAGGAACAGCAGGCCAGGTACCGAGGAAGAGGCAAGGGTTGGAAGTACAAGCGCGTCCCAGTTCTGCCGCCGAGCCCAGGACCGTACCTGTGGCCAGTCTGGAAGCCCTGGGCTGGAGACGGGCCGCCAACTGGTTGTCCGAACTCGGGCACATCCAGGCCCAGGACTCGTGCAGGCAGCCTCGGATTCACGCCTCGCTCCTGGCTAAGGTCTGCCAGGGGCCTAAGGCGTTATATGGTACTTTCCCCTGGCCCATCTTCGCTCGCTCCGTCGCCGAGCTGAGCGTGGTGACTCCCACAGGTCTGTACGACTTGTCGAAGCTGGCAGGTAAGCATGCTGAGTCGTGCGAGCGGGAGTTCACTCGCAGACGGTCGGCTGAGTGGAGAGAGTTCGTTAAGGAAGCCGTCGCGAACGGCGGCGGCAGGGCACAAAGATATACTCGTCTTCCTGTTGGGTGGCGTCCCGTCCATCCGAAGCGTGGAGAGTTCCCCAGGTCCTGAGGCTGAACTCAACCAGATCCTGGAGGATTGGGAGGAGGTCTGGAAGTGCCCGAACGAGGATGAGGACCCCGAGAAATGCATGCAGGAGCTCAACAGGCTTCTGGAGGCCCACGAGATTCCCGAGGTTCGTTATGATCCTGATCGTATACGCCAGGTTGCCAGGGGAGTCAAGAGCTGGACGTCTCATGGGATTGATCGTCTTGGGCCTAGGGACTTCACGGTGGATTGATCGTCTTGGGCCTAGGGACTTCACGGTGGTGTCGGATCAATGTCTTGAGGGACTCGCGCCCCTGTGGTGATGGATGTTGGCCCGAGGTTTCATTCCGTCGCAACTGAGCTTGACTCTCATGCCTTCCCTACCCAAACCCGAGGGAGACACACGGCTAATCGGGCTGCTGAGCATGGTGGTGCGCCTCTGGACTCGCTGTTCCCATGATGTGATTCGTGAGCGGGAGCCCCACACATCAACGTACATAAGTCTTGTGGGAGAGGGGTATGGGAGCAGTCCTTCGACAGCGAGCTCGTGGTTGTGTCCAACATGCATGCTGCGAACACCTTTGTAGACCTCACGAAGGCATACGAGAAGGTGTACCATCGTGATTTGATAGCAGCAGCACGCAAGCATGGGTTTCCGCTCTTCTACCTTCGGCTGTGCTTGAAGACATACCGTGCTCCGCAATGCCGGTTGCTCGGAAAACGCGTGTCTGCTGCAGTTCGCATCCTCAGCACGATCGTTGCGGGATGCGGCTTTGCGACGACACTCCTGTATGTCATGTTGCTGGACGTTCAGGATCACTGTCTGCAGTGGTTTCGCCACACACGCTTCTTCAACATGGCCGATGGTACCGCTACGTTCACGGTTGGTTTTGCAATGCTTATGGGCAAGGAAGCGCTGGCGGCCACGCTCACGCCGTGTCGCATGCTTGAGGCTCGACGGCTCATTGTGTTTCGTCCAAAAAGAAGGGTCACTGCCACGAATTCGGAGCTTGCTACCAAGATTGCTGCCGGCTTGACGGGGTGTGAATCCCGTTCCACACATCATGTCAAGAATCTTGGGACTGACTACGCGCAGCGAGGCCCACGACGTGTCGCTGTTCTCGCTGGTAGACTGACCAAAGTGAAGGCCCGAGCTGGCCGTTTCCGTTTCTTGACATCTCAATCTCGCAGGTTCACGATGGTCTCAAAGGCAGGAGCCCTCTCAGCAGGCACGTGCGGAGTCAGTGTTTTAGGGCTCTCGGGCAGGCTTCTGGCTTCGTGGGACCATCGCTTTAGGATTTCTTGGGCCAGCCAGAGGCCGCTCCCGCACTATTCAGTTCTGTCTCTCGCCAGCGCCCGACGCCGACCCTGCCTTCATCAGTCATTCCTTGCCTCTAATGTCTTGGCATAGGGCCTTTTGGGAAGGCCGGGCGCCACGGGAGCAGATGTCCAGTGTCTGTCAGGCCTTGCTAGAGCTCCGACAGCAAGTCGAATCCGACCTGGTCCGCGGTCAAATGTCCGACGGGAGCTGTGATAATGACCCTCGGTCGGATTGGATGGATTCCCGAGAGCCATCGCGCCTGGCGTTTGCCGTCTGGTTTGGCGGTCGATCTCGAGGCGGTCCGCAGGGTTTCGTTGAAGCAGCTCGTCGGCCGAGGGGCCAAGGATTTTCTTTCTGGGAAGCTCCAATGGAGCCATCAGGGCCAGGAGTACGATCACCCCCACTTAGATGCAGTGCGAGAGGCTTGTGATGATCTCCGCCGACAGGGCAAGGGCCTCTAGGCCAGTCTTCTCGCCACCCATTTGTCCGCACTGTACCAGGATCGTCGCGTGGTTGATGAGCGATGCCTAGGAGGGCGAGGTGCGCGGCGCCACAGGCTTTTCGTTTGCGACGGCCTGGCAGGTGGACGGGGACGTTTAGGGTGCGATGAGGAAGTCAGGAGCTGGAGGCGAGGCGACGACGACAATCCTTTCCTCGCGAGGTGTATCCATCCCTCTCCTGTCAGGTTCACGCCGAGCCTCCAGCACTCAGGCGCCATCCAGTGGCTAGTTCGCCCGCGCGGCGGGCTCCTTCAAGGCGACCTCTGCACGGATGGATCTTCTCTTTATCCCGCCCTGCCTCTCTTCGCTGTTGCTGCTTGGGCCTTGGTGACGATGGGCGTGGGAGGACAGTTCCTGCCAAGTGTTTGTGACCCTCTGCCCCGTGCTCTCCACTCCATGTGCGGGGCAGAGGTGTATGCAGTTCTGATGGCGTTAAGACTCTCGGGCCCCAGTGACGTCGAGTTGGGTTGTGATCGCCAGTCGGTGGTGAAAACTTGGGACCGAGGGTCGGAGAGCGATGTTTCCTACGTCCCGTCTGCCGATTTTTGGGAGGAATTCCTGTTTCGACGCAGAGACCGCGGGAAGTCCTTTAGGGCGTCGCATGTCCCTGCTCACAAGTGCTGGCCGCAAGCACTCCAGTTGGGTGTGCCGTTCTGGGGAGGCCGAGGAGGCCGCCAAGGGAGCGGCAAGAGCGATCCCAACTCCCGATGGTCTCCGTGAGTGTTTCGAGCAGCAGAGAGAGTGTTTGCAAGTCCTTGGCATATATGCTGGGGCCATGCTCGAGGTTGCCTGACGTCCTGCTTTTTTGATATGTTGCGAAGGTAACATCCAAGAGGCAGCGCCCGCCGGGAGCCCAGCATATTCTTTGCCCAGACCCCAATGGTCATGTGTTGGGCAGGAGGGGAAGGGGTGGCTTTGCGCGCGTTCCCTTGATCGCGTGCGCAGCTGGACCCACCCCACCTCGCCAGCCATCGCTGTTTGGGACTCCCGCGGATTTGTCGGCAGTCTCACACGTCCCACCGCCTGCGGAGCGGCAGTGCTGGAGCCCCTCTCCCGATTGTTTGGTGCTCCAAGTGCGGTTGTTTCGCTCGGCATCGGGTACATCTTCTGGCGGATCGTTGCCCTGGCAGGACTCAATGTTCCTCTCTGGCGAGAGAGGATGGCTGCGCACTCTGGTTTGATGTTTTTCTCAGCCAACGTTCTGCGCTGCCTGTGCGAGGCGGATGCTTGGCCGAACTGGAACTGGAACTGGAAAAGGAGGAGAAGCATGAGGATTAGGATGAGGATGAGGATGAGGATGAGGACGAGGATGAGGATGAGGAGGAGGAGGAGGAAGAGGAGGAGGAGGAGGAGGAGGAGGAGGAGGAGGAGGAGGAGGAGGAGGAGGAGGAGGAGGAGGAGGAGGAGGAGGAGGAGGAGGAGGAGGGCGTGCTGCTCGCGCTCGGGGCCCAGGCGCCGCAGGACCTGTCGCTGGCGGGCGCGCTGGCCGACGGCCTGGAGGCCCTGCGCGCGGACTTCGAGCTGGAGTGCCCCGGCCTCTGCGCCGGCTGGCTGCTGCGAGCGCTCCGCGCGCAGTGCGGCCGCGTGGTGGTCAGGCTGCGGGAGGTGCTGCAGCAGGTCTTTGCGCGGCTCCGGGACCACGGCCGGTGCTCAGCATCTTTTCACCGATCCCCACCCCCGCTGCGCCATGGTAGCTCAGCCCCGACGGCCCACCCCGCAAGGTGGGGACAGGTCTCGCGAAACTTGGAGGGAACAGTCCATATCTTCATCTAGGGGGGCAAATCGGTCGGTGGGACTAAGGCCATGCCAGTGGGGATGGCGATAGGTTAAACCATGCTCAGGTGCCTAGTGGTCAGCGTGACCAGGTACCAGATGGAGGCGGTCCGACGCTTCGTCCACGACCACGAGGACCTTGGAGCTGGCTGGGGGGCTGAGGATGCCCGCCACCGCTTCTGGCCAAGAGATATGAGAGGTAAGGGCCCCCGTCGTCGCCACGGCTGAAGCCTGGCCGATTTTGAGAGAATTTGCCTTCGAACCCCCTTTTGTCCGCTTTTGTCGGGGCCCATCCAGCGCAGATCCCCGGCCGCTTCCAGCGATTAGTGTATTGTTTCGTCAATCCCAATTCCCACGGGGCCATGGTGTCTCAGCCCCACCGTCCCACCCTTCCAAATGGGAATTGGCCCCTCGAAGCCCGAAGGGTGGGTAACTCGGCCAGCGGGGCCAAGGCCATGTCAGTGGGGATGGTCTCTGGCTGCACGATGCTCCATCGAGGACCCGCTCCCACAGCTTGACCTGTGCCCTGAGCGGCTGGCGGAGCTGTACCCCGCGCTCCTCCACGGCGCGGGCTACTCGGTGCGCATCGCTGGAGGCGGGCCCGCGCAGTGCGCGGGGCGGGCGCTGGTGCACGTGCTGGAGAGGGTGCCCGCGGCCACGGCGGCGGTGCACAGCCGGCCGCTGGGTTCCGGGGGCGGGTGCGGGCTGGCCTCGGCCAGGCTTCTTGGGGCGTCGCTGCGTCATCGCTCCGTCGTCGCCTCGGCTGTTGCGGCGGGGGCGGTCAGCCCAGAAAGGGAGGGGGAGCACGTGCGCGTGTCCTGGGGCCCAAGGTCGCACGCCGAGCCAGTGTACGACGCTCCAGAGCGAGCGCGTGCGCTGTCGCTCCTCTGGGCTGCCTGCCCCGGTTGCAGCCCTTGATCGCCGTCCCAGCTGCATTCGTCGTAGTCGCTATCTCTGCCGCCGCTGCAGTCTCTGGTGGCGGCGTCGTCGTCGTTGTCCTCTTCCTCATCGTGCTCTCCCTCCCTCGCTCGCTCGCCACCTGGAGACGTGCGCTGGTCGCTGCCCATCCTTGGGCACGTGGGGTCGAGAAAGTCTGGGGGCGGGATGAGGGAGCAGTGCAAAGAGGGCGAGGGAGGGTAGAGGAGGGGAGAGGCCGCACTGTCCCCACATGTGGTGGCCCATAATCCCCTATCCGCAGTCTCAAGCCCGGGGCTCCCTTCTCCGTCTCCTCCCCCTCCCCCTCGTCCTCTCTCCTCTGTCTTCCTGTTCCTGTTACTCATATTCCCTGCCCTCTCTCCTCTTCGTCCTTCCTTCCTTCCTGCCATCCTTTCTTCCTTCCTTCCTTTCTTCCTTCCTCCTCCGCCTCCTCGTCCCCCTCCTCCTCCTCCTCCTCCTCCTCCTCCTCCTCCTCCTCCTCCTCGTGCCCCTGGTCGTCGTCGTCGTCGTCGTCGTCGTCGTCGTCGTCGTCGTCGTCGGCGAAAGCTCCAGTGCTGATCCTGAACGCACCCCCCCTCCCTGGAGCCATTGCCTCTGGTGGGGAGGGGGGGCCAATGGCTCTGGCTCGAGCCCGAGCCCGAGCCTGCAGCCCCGGATCCTCTGAGCCCACCTCCTCAATGGGCCGCTGCCCCTGGCCGTTCCTCCCCTTCAGGGGCCGCTGGTACATTCGGACCGAGGTATAAGATCGAGGTCGGCTCGGGGAGGGTACCCTGATGTTCTTCGTGTCTGTTGGATGCTCTTGCGCATCCGGGGGAGGGCACCATTGGATGTCTTGTGTGTTATGGCCAGCAGAGGGTCCCATGTTCTTGAAGGATGTTCTTCTGTCCTAGGTCCAACTGTACATGTTTTCTTGACGCTGGGCGGTGCGATGATCCCGTGGAGGCACAGGTGGGTGCCACGCCTAGCCGGCGGCCCTCCTGCGGGACCCTGCGCCCCTTCTGTAGGGGCTGGGCGGAGACGCCCCCCTCGCGAGAGGCAGCGGCTTCTTCTTCTTCTTCTTCTTCTTCTTCTTCTTATTCTTATTTCTCCTCCTCCTTCTCCTCCTCCTCCTTCCTCTCGCAGGCCGCCTGGCTGAGATTTTTGCAAGCAGAGAAGGCTATTCTAGACGCTTCGCGTAATCCCACCAACCCATCCAGAAACGATGCCAAGACGAGTTGTCCTGATCAGGGATGCGGAGGACAATGCAGTGGCGTAAAGAGCCGGGTAAGTCGTCGTACCCCAAGAGGGGGAGGAGGGAGGAGGAAGGAGGAGGAGGAGGAGGAGGAGGAGGAGGACGAGGATGATGGCGAGCAGAAAGACCAGAGGCCTCTTGGATGCTTCTCGGAATCCCTTCAGATTTCTTTCGGGAGTTTCTTGGAGTGCTCTTGGGGCGTCTTAAGGGTCTATTGGCAGTCCCGGGGGCCTCTTGAGGCGTCTTGGGTGCCTCTGGGTGGCCTCTTGGAACCTCTTGTGGGTCTCTTGGGAGCCTCTTGGGGGCATCTTGTGCACATCGTGGGGGCTTCTTTGGGCCTCCTGGGCACCTCTTGGGCCCGTCTTGGGGCACCTTTGGGAGCCTCGGGGGCCATTTAGGGCCATCTTGGAAGAGATCGATCAGAGGAGGGGGGCTTCTTACTTAGCCTCCCCTCCCAGGAGGCCGACATGTGGCCAAAACCTTAGTGCAATCAGTGATCTTGGGCCGTTCTCCGAGGCCTCTTGGGGCGTCTTGGGTGCCTCTGGGGGGGCTCTTGGGGCGTCTTGGGGGTCTCTTGGTCGCCTCTTGGGGGCCATATTTGGCGCCTCTTGAGGGCCTCTTGGGGCCTCCTGGGCATCTTTTGGGGCTCTCTTGGGGCACCCTTGGGAGCCTTGGGGCCATCTTGGGGCCATCTTGGAAGAGATCGATCGGAGGATGGGGGCTCCTCGATTAGGGTCTCTGGTCCAGGAGGCCAGGAGGCCAACATGTGGCCAACGCCTCCGTGAAATCAATAATTGATGCTTCCGCGCCGAGGCCATCTTGGGCGCTCCAACGACCCGCGACCCCCCCTCCAAACCAAGAGGGTAGGGGTAGGGGTAGGGGGAGGGGTCAAGACACCCCCTAGATAACAAGCCGTCTAGCTCACTCCCACCCGCCCTCCCAACACATAAGTAACACCCGAACCTGAGCATGTTCAGGTTCGTCTTTGAATGGGCAGCTGTTGGGAACCAACTCCGACCCCATGGGCGCGACGCTGGGGCGAAGTGCGCCACGCGTGCCAGGCGCGCCACGCGCGCCAGGCACCCCTGGGGCCCGAGCGTGCCAGGCACGCCTGTTGCGTCAGGTGCGCCACGTGCTCCGCGTGCGCCAGGTGTGCCGCATTCCCCAGCCGCGCCAGGAACGCCGCGCCAGGAGCGCCACGTTTGGGGCGCGTGCAGAGTGTGTCGGGTGCTCCTGCGCACGTGACAGCACATATCGGGAAACATCTGGGCCCCCACCATCCACGTCGAAAAACAATCCTCATCATTGTGTCTGGTGGGCCTGCGCACAGCAGGTCATACCCCACCATTTGAGAGTGATCGCGGGGCGGCCGCGCATGATCCAGATTTCGCCGCGAGGTGCATTTGTATTGTTCTTTTGTAAGGGATGGTCGCCCTGCGCGCAGCAGGCACCCCCGCCGTCCTTGTCAACACGCAATGCAAAGTGCCCACGGGCCTTACGGACACGACTCCAGACTTAGCCCCAAAGTGTATTTTGATTTGTTCGCAACCATCCTGTGGTGTTGGGTCCTCATTTTGAAGAGACGGTCCCCGCGTTCCTTCCGCCTCCTTCCTCCCTCCTCCCCCTCCCTCCTCCCCCTCCTCCTTCCTCCCTGCATTTCACTCACCCAGTACAGCGTTTCGTGGCCCTATAGGGAGCTCCACCGAAGGTCCCAGTGGGACCGCCCGCATGCGTCAACCACCACCCATCACAGCCCTTCCTCCCTGCGCTTCACCCACCCAGCACAGCGTGTCGTGGCCCTATTCGGAGCTCCTGCGAAGGTCCCAGTGGGACCGCCTGCATGCGTCAACCACCACCCAGCACAGCCCTTCCTCCCTGCGTTTCACCCACCCAGTACAAGGTTTCGTGGCCCCGTAGGGAACTCCGCCGATGGTCCCAGTGCGACCGCCCGCATACGTCAACCACCACCTAGCACAGCCCTTCATCCTTGCGTTTCACCCACCCAATACAGCGTTTCGTGGCCCATGGGTAGCTCCACCGAAGGTCCCAGTGGGACCGCCCCTGGACTAACCACTAACCCCCGTTCCGTCCAACCCGAGGGGTCGCCCTCCCTCCGACGCCGCAGCCGTGCTGGCTCGAGACCACCCCGGGGAGGCGCCACGCAGCCGCGGCGCACAACTGCCGCGCGGCACCCTGGCGGCGCCTCGAGACATGCCCGGCGGCGGCGGGGACCTCGAAGGGGTGGGCGCCGCCCCGCCGCCGCAGGACCCGCTACAGGAGCTGGCGGGGTGGCACGCCGCGCCCCTGCTTCTCCGGCGCCTCGGCCCGTACATCGCGGGGGGCGTGCTCGAGTGCGCGGCCCTCGCGGCGGCGGCCGTGGTGAGCTTCGGGTGGCGGCGCGGCAGCGTGCCCGAGGCGCAGGCCTCCTCGGCCAGGGGCTCCCCGCGGCCGGAGCTCTTCCGGTGGCACCTGGCGTTCCCCCTCACCGCGGCGGCCGTCAGGCTGATCTTGTCCTTGGCCCTGTACGTCGGGTACTGCAGATTCCGAGGCACCACCTCCCCAGGGACCATCTCGAGAAGAGGCCTTTTGCAGGGGAGGAGTTTCTGGGTCCGTTCCTCGACCTGGATGCTGTGCCTCTCCTGCATGCTCATGCTGTGGCATGCCATCCTATGCATGGTGCTGACTGGGTATACGCCACCGGCGGACGAAAGGACGTTCACGTGGTGTTTCTTCGTCTTTACTATCTTCAGCTCGGTCATGCACGCGTGCTTCTGCCTGGACGTCGCAATTAACGACAGGGAGCCGTGTCAGCACGACGCCGTCGTCGCCGCCGCTGCTTCGAGATCGCGCCGGCTCGAGGTGATCTACGGCATGTACAAGACAGGTGAGATCCACATTCGTAGGCACCAAGCGGTGGTCCAGGCGAGGGGCGCGCCCGCGTCGTGCATGATCTGCCTGGAAGGCTTTGGGCGCTCCGAATGGGTTTCAGAACTGGCCTGTGGGCACTACTATCCACTTGCGCTGTCGCGCGCATCGGCCTCCGCACTTGGGGCGCCTGGTAGAACGGGGGGGAGGGGGCGGGGATTGGGGCTGGTGCCATGCAACGTGGTAGGGGGTGGGGGACAGGGGAGAGGGCGGAGGGGGGCAAAAAAGCAGGCGGATATCCCGCATCGAAACAAAGGGGCACCCAAAAACACGTTATTGCCCAGGGTACGACCGACGGGGCGGGGCGGAAGCGGTGCCGGCCTCGACCTAGGGTGAGGGAGAGCTGAGAAGTAGTCTTCAGTTTGGATACACATGCGCGCTGAAGCTCTGATGCCCTCCATCCATGTAATGATGTCCTCCATCCATGTAATCATGTCCTCCATCCATGTAATCATGGGCGCTCGTCTTCCACCCGTGTAATATATATGGCACGCACCACAGAGAGAGGAGACTACCCTTTGAACAGCAAGCCGCGCGCACACTACGCACGCAAGGGGAAGCACGCACATAACGCACACAAAGGCACGCGCGCACATTGCGCACTGCGCCTACTTTCCACGCTCCCCG